TGTGTCCAGAGGAGGGCGACTAAAATGATCAAGGGTCTGGAGAACAAGCCCTATGAGGAGCGGCTTAGGGAACTGGGCATGTTTAGCCTGAAGAAGAGAAGGCTGAGAGGAGATATGATAGCCATGTATAAATATGTAAGAGGAAGCCACAGGGAGGAGGGAGCAAGCTTGTTTTCTGCTTCCTTGGAGACTAGGACGCGGAACAATGGCTTCAAACTACAAGAGAGGAGATTCCATCTGAACATTAGGAAGAACTTCCTGACTGTGAGAGCCGTTCAGCAGTGGAACTCTCTGCCCGGAGTGTGGTGGAGGCTCCTTCTTTGGAAGCTTTTAAGCAGAGGCTGGATGGCCATCTGTCAGGGGTGATTTGAATGCAATATTCCTGCTTCTTTGCAGGGGGTTGGACTGGATGGCCCATGAGGTCTCTTCCAACTCTTTGATTCTATGATTCTATGAATATTATAAGCATTCAATTAATGCACTTTGGTCCCACTTTATGAGCTTACTGTTTTAAAATATGCTATGATTTTGTATATTTATGACTACAGCTATATTTATGACTCTGATTCTGTGATTTATTGGAGAGCCCAGCCAGCCATTTTATTTTCCTGAGGAGAACCTTCTCCAAACGCGACCAAAGCAGACTGAGACGGTTCAGCTCTTCTTCCCACCAGGCAGTGGGCGGAGCTACAGGGGGCGGAGCCACAGACGCTCTCGCCCCTCCCTTCGCCGTCTCCATGGTAACCAATCGCCGCCACTGCCCTTCGCTCCCACCAGAGACCCATCGCCTCGGCTACCGCGAGTGCGCATGCGCCCGCGCCCACCAGCTCTCCTAAAGGGGAGGCTGCACCAACCGATAGGCCCACCGCTCTTCCATTCATTGCTTTCTCCCCCCTCCACTTTTTCCCTCTTTTTCTTTTTTATTCGCTCGAGTCGGGATGATGTGCAACGACAACCTTCTCCCGTCACCAGGAATCGTCCTTAAAAAAAGACGTCCCTCCTGATTCAAAGTAAGTCATTATATATATAAATAGAGGGCCGGGAATGGGGGGGGGGGAGATCTCCCCCTAACGTTTTGCCGCAAAGCAGGATGGGAGTCGTAGTCTTAGCGGCAACTGCTTTGTACGACCGCCTGTGGAGCCGCGGGCCTCCGAGAAACTACAAAACCCAGAAAGCTTTGCGGGAAGATAATCAGATTCATTTTGGCTCTTACACCTTGAGGCCTGCCCTCCCTCCGTTTATCCTAATAGAATGGCTGGCCAATGGGAGGCCCTCTGGCAGGTAACCGTTATTTGTAGGAAAGGGCAGAGGGAGGGGTGGCTGGTGTTTGGAAAGGCACCCGAATAACGGTGATGGGGAAGCCCCGCCCCACTGTGATTGACAATTCGTTCTGCCAATGACAGTGGCTGATTATTTGGGGCTATATGCCAAGGTGTGCCAAGTATGTAGAGAGGATATAGACCAGGCCTGGGACAGCTTGAGCCCTCCAGGTGTTTTGGACTTCAATTCCCACCATTCCTAACAGCCTCAGGCCCCTTCCTTTTCCCCCTCGGCCGCTTAAGCTGTTAGGAATGGTGGGAATTGAAGTCCAAAACACCTGGAGGGCCCAAATTGGCCCAGGCCTGATATAGACTAAAAGGTGGCATAGAGTAAGGCAGGAATTAGATGCAAACAGAGGCTGCCAAATAGATGACAGGAGATTGAAGGGTTTCTTACATACTATATATAGGTCTTCCTTTGAAATATTGTTACCTGGGGCCGACAAATACAAGGTTGGGGTAAAAATTGCTGGGAGAAACATTAACAAGCTTAAATATGCAGATGATACCACTTTGATGGCCGAAAGCGAGGAGGAGCTGAGGAGCCTTCTAATCAAGAAGAAAGTGCAGAAGCTGAGTTGCAGTTAAACATTAAAAAAAAAACCAAGATTATGACAACAAGACTGATTGATAACTGGCAAATACAGGGAGAAAATGTGGAGGCAGTATTTATTTATTTATTTATTTATTTATTTATCGTGTCAGGCAGCCGATCAGTTGTACTACATTTTTGACAGAACAAACAAACAAACATACAAAAGACACAGAGTTTGCAAGCTTGGCAGTTGATTGACTGTCCTTTGACCAGTATTTGGCCACTTGGGGTGCCTCTGGTGTTGCCGCAAGAAGATCCTCCATTGTGCATGTAGCAGGGTTCAGGTTGCATTGCAGCAGGTGGTCTGTAGTTTGCTCTTCTCCACACTCGCATGTTGTGGATTCCACTTTGTCACCCCATTTCTTAAGGTTGGCTCTGCATCTTATGGTGCCAGAGCGTAGTCTGTTCAGTAGTTTGTTCAGTGGAGGCAGTGACAAGCTTTTTATTTCTAGGTGCAAAGATTACTGCAGATGCGGACTGCAGCCAGGAAATCAGAAGATGCTTACTTCTTGGGAGGAGAGCAATGACCAATCTTGATAAAATAGTGAAGAGTAGAGAGATCACACTGGCAACAACGATCTGCATAGTAAAAGCAATGGTATTCCTCGTAGTAACCTACGGATGTGAGAGCTGGACGATAAGGAAGGCTGAGCAAAGGAAGATAAATGCTTTTGAACTGTGGTGTTGGAGGAATGTTCCGTGAGTGCCTTGGACCGTGAGAAGATCAAACCAGTCCATACTCCAGAAAATAATGCCCAACTGCTCACTGGAGAGAAGGATAGTAGAGGCAAAGTACTTTGGCCACATAATGAGAAGACAGGAAAGCTTGGAGAAGACAATGATGCTGGGGAAAATGGAAGGAAAGAGGCCAACCAAAGGCAAGATGGATGGATGGTATCCTTGAAGAGACTGGCTTGACCTTGAAGGAGCTGGGGGTGGTGATGGTCGATGGAGCTCTGGCGTGGGCTGGTCCATGAGGTCACGAAGAGTCGGAAGCGACTGAAAAATGAACAACAACAAGGAAACTCACTACAAGGGCTTTACACGTTGTGTAGTTTTATTGACTTTGATATTTTGTCAGTCTAACATCATTAGGAAGGGAATTCCATAGACGAGGAGCCACCATTGAGAAGGGTTTATTCTTTTTAATCTGTCTGGCAAGTCTGAGCTCATTTCACAACTTAGCCTTACAATCCTTTCCCGTACATATTTATTTATTATTTATTTATTTATTATTTAAACTTATATGCCGCCACTCCCGTGGGGCTCGGAGCGGCTTACAAGAATAGCTAAAATCTAACAAAGTTTAAAAGCAATTTAAAACAATTTAAAAACAACAGTATCAAACATTAAAAGCCTGTCGGAACAGGTATGTCTTACATGCCCTGCGGAAAGCTGGTAAGTCCCGCAGGGCACGAACTTCAGGTGGCAGGGCATTCCAGACTGATGGCGCCACTGCTGTGAAGGCTCTGCGTCTGGTTGCCGTTAGACGCAAGGTCTTGACACTGGGGACTTCCAATAGATCTTGGTCCTCAGAGCGGAGGGATCTCTGGGGTTGGTAGGGGGTGAGACGATCCCTCAGATACATTGGCCCCAGACCATGCAAGGCCTTAAAGGTGAGTACCATCACTTTGAAAGTGATCCGGTGCTCAATTGGTAACCAATGCAGCTGTAGTAAGATTGGTGTTATGTGGCATCTCATCGGAATTCCCGCAAGAAGCCGAGCAGCTGCGTTTTGTACCAACTTGAGCTTCCGAATCACCGCCAGAGGGAGGCCAATGTAGAGGGCGTTACAGTAGTCCAGTCTTGAGATGACCGTGGCCTGGATCACCGTAGCTAGGTCGTCCCTGGACAGGTAGGGGGCCAGCCGTCTAGCCTGCCGCAGATGAAAAAAGGCGGTTCTGCTAACGGCGGAGACCTGGGCCTCCATCGTCAGCAGAGGGTCCAAAAGGACTCCCAGACTCTTTACCAATGATGACGGGCGTAGCGCCTCGCCATCCAGGGTAGGCAGCTGGATGTCCCCACTGCCCGGTCGACCCAGCCATAGGATCTCCGTCTTTGCTGGATTCACCCTCAACCTGCTGGCACGCAGCCATCCAGTAACGGCCTCAAGGCACTGATGGAAACAATCGGGTACAGAGTCTGGTCGGCCTTCCATCTTCAGCACCAGCTGATGTCATCGGCATACTGATAACACTCAAGCCCAAAACCTCGAACCAGCTGAGCAAGTGGTTGCATATAGATGTTAAACAACAGAGGGGAGAGAATGGCCCCCTGAGGAACCCCACAAGATAGAGGGTACCTCTCAGAGACCAGGCCTCCCCTCTCCACTCGCTGTCCACGGTTGTGAAGAAAGGAGGACAGCCAGTTTAAAGCTGTCCCCCTGATTCCAGCAACAGCAAGGCGGTGGGTCAAGAGATTGTGGTCGACTGTGTCAAATGCTGCTGTGAGATCCAATAGCACGAGCAGCGCTGACCCGCCCTGGTCAAGCTGGCATCGAAGGTGATCCGTGATGGAGACCAGCACAGTCTCTGTCCCGTGCCCTGCACGGAAGCCAGATTGGAAGGGATCTAGTCTGGCTGTATTGTCTAGGAATTGCTGCAACTGCTCCGCTGCTGCCCTCTCAATCACCTTGCCCAGGAACGAGATATGTTGGTTATTTGTTTGAATTCCTCTATGGTGATTTTCCCCTTTTCCATTTCTTATGCATGTCTCTTAAATCTTAACTCAGTTAAAAGTTCTTTGGACATCCATTCTGGTTGCTTTACACTTCTCTTATTTTTTCTCCTTGCTGGCATTGTTTGCAACTATGCTTTCAGTATTTCACTTTTTAAAAACCTCCCATCCACCATTTGCTCTCTTCTCTTCTAGTATTCCTGTCCATGCTCAATATTTCCTTAAATTTCCTGAAGTCAGCTCTCCTAAAGTCTGGAATACTTTATGCATGGCTTTGCTGATACTTGTTGCATGATCATGGATCCAAGGCAGGTTTCTGAGTATTAATGCCTGATTTTATTATGATGTTCTTTTATGCTGTTCTCATTCATTGTGTTGATACTTTTTTATGATAGTCAACTAACACTCAATCATTAATGACGTTGCATTCATAACCTTGACTCAGTCATCAATCCACATAGATACTGCAGTCAAGACATCAGAAGAATAACTGGAAGGGCAACTATGAAGAAACTAGATAAGACCCTCAAGAGGACAATGAAGTAAAGCAACCCATTTGAAATGTGGTGCTGGAGGAGAGTTCTAACCCTCACCGTAAGCCTGTCAAAAAGACAAATAGATGAGCCTGAGAGCAAATCAAGTTGGAACTCTTTATTACAGGCCAAAATGACTAATCCAAACCTACTTCATTTTGGATATACAAAAAACCCTGGAGAAGACAATAATACTTGGTAAAGCTGAAGGTAATAGGAAAAACGAAATGCTGTATTTCTGTTTTATTGGCTATTCTAAAGCTTTTGACTGAATGGATCATAATAAATTGTGGCAAGAACTTGGTGGTAAGGGGATACCAAGTCACCTTGTCAATCTTCTGAGGAATCTGTATAATGACCAAGTAGCAACAGTAAGAACAGACCACGGAACAACAGACTGGTTCACTATTGGGAAAGGAGTACAGAAGGACTGTATACTCTCATCCTACCTATTCAACTTGTATGCAAATCTGGGGAGAGGCGGATGAGCTCCCTCTATCAGCTCCAGCTCCACATGCGGGGACATGAGAGAAGACTCCCACAAGGATGATTAAAACATCAAATCATCTGGGCGTCCCCTGGGCAACGTCCTTGCAGGCGGCCAATTCTCTCACACCAGAAGCGACTTGCAGTTTCTCAAGTCACTCCTGACACACACACACACAAAACTTGTATGCAGAACACATCATGCAACATGTAGGGCTTGATGAATCCAAGACAGGAGTTAAAATTGCTGGAAGAGACATTAATAAACTTAGATATGCAGATGATACCACTTTGATGGCTGAAAGCGAGGAGGAGCTGAGGAGCTTTATAACCAAGGTGAAAGAAGTGCAAAAGCTGGGTTGCAGTTAAACATCAAAGGAACAAAGATTATGGCAACCAAACGGATTGATAACTGGCAAATAGAGGGAGAAAACGTGGAGGCAGTGGCAGACTTTGTATTTCTAGATTACGACAGATGCAGACTGCAGCCAAGAAGTCAGAAGACATTTACTTCTTGGGAAGAGAGCAATGACCAATCTCTATAAAATAGTTAAGAATCATAGAGTTGGAAGAGACATCGTGGGGCATCCAGTCCAACTCCCTGCCAAGAAGCAGGAAAGTCGCATTCAAAGAGTACAGACATCACACTGGCAATGAAGATCCACATAGTTAAAGCAATTGTATTCCCCGTAGTAACCTATGGATCATAAGGAAGGCTGAGCAAGGTAGATTGACACTTTTGAACTGTGGTGTTGGAGGAAAATTCTGAGAGTGCCTTGGACCGCAAGAAGATCAAACCAGTCCATACTCCAGAAAACACGCCTGATTTCTCACTGGAGAGAAGAATATTAGAGGCAAAGGTGAAGTACTTTGGCCACATAATCAGAAGACAGGAAAACTTGGAGAAAATAATGATGCAGGGGGAAAAGGAAGGAAAAAGGAAGAGCGGCCGACCAAGAGCAAGATGTATGGACGTTATCCTTGAGGTGATTGGTTTGACCTTGAAGGAGCTGGGGTTGGCAATGTTATGAAGAGTCGGAAGCCACTGAACAAATAAACAACAACAATGTTAAAGATGGATTGACTCAATATGAGTTTGCAAGATCTGAGTAAGGCTGTTAATAACATGCTTTCTTAGTCGTTTGTCATTACCTTGGGAAGAGAAAAAAACACCCACCCTTTTAATTTCTTCTGTGTTTCTCCTCCTTCCCACCTGTGAGAGAATGGATCTAGGTGAATGAACTTTGCTTCATGCAATAGAGGGAGCCTGACTTGATTTCAACTTGGCAAAAGATCTGTAGATGTCCATGTTGCACTCTGTATGAGTTGTTTTCTCTTAATTTGTGGAGACATGAGACCTTGAACAATCCAGACTTCTAGTTATATTTGTTATTAGTAGGGCATCATTGACATTGCCATAGCAACTTGTCTCTTTCTTGTGCCAAAAATATCTGGATGACATTAGCCTGTCTGTTGCAATGCTCTCCAAAGTATTCTGGAGGGCTTTGCTGTATCTCAAGTGCATTAAATGGTTTGGAATGATTGTCCTGGAAAGCAGCCAGCTACAAGTAATTAACAGATGTGTACATTAGAGCAAAAGCCTGTTGGTAAGCCAAAGCTTGCAAGAATGCTGTGTTAACTGCTTTATGATGGGCAGTCAGAATATTGTTATTTATGACCATCTTGTGGTTTTTTTGGAAGATGTAGAAAATCAGGACCAGTATAGATGAATAGAATTAAAAGAGTGCTGGAACCTGTTTACTTGGATAAAATGTTTTTGTCAGAAAACAATATATTGAAAGAAAGGTTTATCCTTGCACATAGTCTGCAAGCTTGATATACTTCTCCTCAGCCATGTTTGTGTTTCCCAAGGCATCTAAGAAACAACGCCACCAAATTTTGGCAGAATTTTGGCAGAATGCCCAGGAAGAGCCAACAAACATCTTGTTTAAAACAAACATCTTGCTTTGCTTTAAATATCTTGAAGTGGTTTGCCACTGAATTTTGGTGTCAACCTGCTACACTTCATTGCAAGCAAAACCAATGCTTTTTCAAAATGGTATTTCCCCAATTTGCAACAGAATTCTGACATAGAGTGATAGTATGAGTGCAACTTGCATGAGGTCCTTGGGAGTAAAATGGGTTCTGCATCCAACATATTTATCCATCCCTGCCCTGTGCTTCCAGGTCATATTCTTATGTTTATTTATTTTTTCATGAAGAGCTAAGTATGATAATATGTTTCAATCTAAGGGTTCATATTCTACACTATAGAATTAATGCAGTTTAACATTACTTTAACTGGTTCAAATGCTATAGAATCCTGGGATTTGTAATTGGGTGAGGCACCAGAACTCTGTGGCAGAGATGCTAAAGATCTTTTAAAATTACAATTCCCTTGATTCAAATATGGTGTCAGACCATACTAATTCTATCATGTAGATGTACCTTAAGACAAAAACTGTTTAAAATATATTAATCATAGAGTCAACTTTGTCCGCAGCTAACATTCTTTGTCATACACCTGGATAAAATTTCCAGCGATAATAATAGACTTCATAATTGTCAAAACAACACTAAATAATGCACAGTGTCAAAACTTGCAGCCGTTGATTGAATTATTTGTTTTACTTCATGCAATAACGGAGTGTTCATGAATGTGTGTGTCATTGTAGATTTCTCAAAGAAGATGAATTTGGCTGAGATTTGTGATAATGCTAAAAAAGGAAGAGAATACGCACTGCTTGGGAATTATGACTCTTCAATGGTTTATTACCAGGGTGTCATACAGCAAATTCAACGACACTGTCAGTCAATCAGAGACCCAGCACTAAGGAGCAAATGGCAACAGGTACAGTGAAGCAGTAGTTGGGTGGGAATAATTATCCACATATTTTACAAAGTATATATAGTAGGTTCCTTGTATCTGCTAGAGTTTGGTTCTAGCATCTGTGAATGCTCAAGTCCCATGATATATAATGACATAGTAAAATTGTGTCCCTTATATAACATGGCAAAATGAAGGTTTGCTTTTTTCTTTAAAAAATGTGGATGATTGCATTTGTGAATGCAAATTCTGTGGATATGGAAAGCTAACTGTACAGCTATCTTTGGCTGGTATGATTATTGCAGAACAGAATATGAACGTGGGACCCAAGATGGCCGAGTCATTAGCAAAACTTTAACAATCATTTTCATAATTTATGGTTCATAAAATTCCTTTGTTCAAGTGGTAAATTTAACCTCATCACTACAAAAGAAATCTTTCTCAGATGATAGTGCCAATTTCAGAACAGAACTTCTCAGGTTGCTTTTGAGAAATGATAACCCCTGAAATATTCTGGACCTAATATTAGAAAGCAAAACTGAATTCCATCAAGTCTTTAACATGTTGATTGCATATGGAGTTTGCTATATTGAACTTCATAATGTCTTTTTCAGATTTCAGTGTATTTTTCCACATTTTAAATGAAGGAAATGTAACTTCAAATGAAATCAAATTTCTTTGTTGTTGTTATCCTCTTATTCAGACTTTCATCTTTTGGGATATATTTATTTACAGTATTTATATTCCGTCCTTCTCACCCCGAAGGGAACGCAGAGCAGATTACAGAACACATATACGGCAAATATTCAATGCCATTATACACTGACAAGATAGACAACTGTACATAGATAGAGGTATATATAGGCTTTCCCATCTTCTGCATCTTGGAGGCTGTACTCTGTTCCAGCCATGGGGTGGGGTTTGGTGGGGGTGGGGGGCTGTCACTACACTTTCCCTGCCAAAGAGCTTTGTTCATAAACTTCCTCCTTGATCTAATTGCCGGCCTTAAATACCTCCCTGCTTAAGCGGTACCTATTTATCTACTCACATTGCTATTTTCAAAACTGCTAGATAGGCAAAAGACCTGGGCTTCGAACTGTCAACCTTTCAGCTAGCAAGATTTACGCAGCTGGCGGTTAACCTTCTGTGCTAAGTGAATATATTCATTTGCTAGTGATTTACACCAGTGTATCGAAATGGAAGCATCTAATTAACTCTTTCTACTGTCTTTCTTCCTGCATTTTTCTTTCTCATCCTTCACATGTGAATCCATCTTCCTGAGTATTACTTTGATCCTTTTTTTTAAAGGAAATGCGTTCATTTTTAAGGAAAGGCTGAATTTTACAGCTGATTCTCCCCCTTCTACCTCATCTCATCTTGATCTCATTTAATGTGCAGGAAGCTATGGGAGATGAGCTGATGCACAAAAATCATTGCCCTTGTCAGGACATTATATTATGTGATCAAATTTTTGTGGCACAAGTAGTGGGGTTTTTTATAAGTGTTCGGTTTTCTGCAGTGTGTCTTTTACTGGTGTCAGTTATGCATTTTATCTTTCTGAGATAGAAGAAGGAAGCTGTGTCATAAATCATATTATAACCTCCATTTTAGGGCCCAATACAATTCAAAGCATACTTATAAAAAGTATGTTCCATGGAGTGGGGGGGGGGGGTGTAGTTGTTTTAAATTTGGGTTATAAGTGATCATCTTTTTCAGCTCTAGTTCTGGTTTCTCTAATGTATTCTAAACTCAATACATTAAAAAGAAAAAGACAATTGTATTATTTCAGTCTCTCTCTCTTTAAAAGTCCATCACAGTCACTTCCTTAAGGCTTTATATAGAGCTTTTGCTTGTTGGTAGAAACAGAAAACCATTCTAGCATCCTTAGAGAGAGAGAGTTCCTAAGTATGGGAGCAGTCACCCAAAAGGCCATCTCCCTTAATCTCATCAAATGAGTCTTCAAAGGTAATGGAGTACAGATATGACCCTCGAGAAGATCTTAAGACCTTGGACAAGTTCACATAAGAGGGCCAGAGCTTGAATTTAATAATAATAACAATAATAAACAACTTTATTTGTAACCCGCTCTATCTCATCAAGGGGACTCAGGGCAGTTTCCAGAACAAAAGTGGCAAACATTCAATACCATAATGAACAAACAAAACAGATCAAAACAATAAATAAATAGCATCAGTATAAAACTTATATTTTAAGAATACTTAAAAACAGATACACATGTACATCATGACAAAATCCAAATAATTAAAGTGCATTAAAGGTATAAAATGATGAGTGATGCTGTATAAAATAACTTAATGGTGATCAACAGCAGCCAGACGGCATCGGAGTGGATTCCCTGTAGTGAGGTTATATATTATGATATTCTAATCCTCCTCCTCTCCGTAGGCTAAGGTGCAGATATGGTTTTTAAAAGTTTTTTTTAAAAAATCAGAGGAGAGGGAGGGCATTTTTACTTCTTTAGGGAAGGAGTTTCAGAGGCAGGGGGCGATCACGGAGAAGGCCCCCTCTCTCATCCCCACCGCTTGAGATGGAGGTGGGACCGAGAAGAGAGCCTCCTCCATTGACCACAGTGCCCGTGTTGGCTTATATGCAGAGATGCAGTTAGTTAAATACCTGGGCCCAAACGATTTCATTCTTCTCAATAATATCTTCCAGTGTCAATTTTCTGTTAGCAAATCTCACTTTGACATCTTTCCTAAACTGATCATTCTGCAATTGATGGTAGCAGAACTAGTCACTTATCCTTATCTCATCTCTCAGTTTTAATTTCCATTGATATTTTTCTTTAGTTAAATACTCCCTGTAAGTTCTTATTTCCTCATTGGATATTGGCCTAAGTACTACTTCCAATGGATGGAGCCATAAAAGGGTTTTAAATTCCATCTCTTATACCTTTTCCAGATCCTTAGAAGGCTAGATGTTATTGGGTATCTGTTAAATTCTTTGTTTACCTTATCTTTTCCATACTATAAGTAAGCATTCCATTCATATCTTAGGTTAACCTAGGTTAGGTTAAGCCCTCTAGGTTAAGTGTGGTCCTTGAGTTTAATCAATTCCTTTAATCAGCTAAATCCTGCTGCTTCATAGTAGTATCTAAAGTCTGGGAGTGCTAAACCTCCTCCATCTTTTGTATTTATTAAATTCTTTTATACAATTCTGACTTTTTTGCCAGCCCATATGAATTTAACCACATCTTTGCATCACTGTTCAAAGACCTTTACACATTTCATAAATTGGTGAGTTTGGAATAAAAACATTTTGCGTAATACCATCAATACTATCCTCCCCATCCAGGTTAATTGAGATACAGGTTGACCATCCTTTATCTGGAATTCTGAAATCTGAAATACTGTATTTACTTGAGTATAATGCACCATGAAATGTAATGTGCACCTCAGTTTTGAATGTGTGCATTACAAAAAAAAGGATTTGTTGTCAAACATAACGTGAAGCAGTGGAGCCCATGAAAAAGTTGATGGGAAGCCATGCCTCTTATTCAGTCCAGGTTAGAAGCTGGTGGTGGCAGTGAAAAGGCTGGTGGGAAGCCGCACCCCTCTGTCAAGGCCTTCCCACCAGCCTTCTCGTGGCCACCATCAGCTTCCCACTAGCTTTTTCATAGCCACAGCTGCCTCTTCCCTCTCTGTCCTCAGATCGGATCCCTTGCCCAACAGCACATTGGGCACGATTCTAACACAACATAAAATCGAATGCACACCCCAATTTTAGCGATGTATTTTAGTAAATATGGTACTCCAAAATTGTACATATGGATGGCTGGGACAGTGATATTTTTGCTTTCTGGTTCAGTGTACATTACTGCATTAGATGCTTCAGTACAGAATTCTAGGTACTTCACTAAAATAGAAATCCCAGCAGATACACATTAGTGTAAACAATGGGAAGTATGTCTTCCTTATCCTGTTGACCTCATTTGTGTTAGAGATAGATTGTGCATGACTCAGTCTTTAGGGTAAAAGGATCTGTTTCTTTTTAAGGTTCGTCAAGAATTGCTGGAAGAATATGAGCAAGTAAAAAGCATTGTCAACACTTTAGAGAGTTTTAAAATAGACAGACCTACAGATATTCCTGTGTCTTATCAAGATGACCATTTTAGGGATCCAGCTGTTTGGCCACCGCCTGTTCCAGCTGAGCACAGGTAACAGATTGCGAGATGAATGATGGGTTTTAATAAGCATAGCTGGAGAGTCTGTGAAGTGTAATGGCATAATAAATAAACCATTCTTTACCCTGTTTCCCTACTAGCTACACATTTGTTTAGTAGCTTGTTTCCATGGTTTACACATACTTTTTTCACTAATAAGATATTTTGGAGGCTTAAGTCCTGATATTGCTGCTTCCTACAAACCTGTAATTATCTCATTGGGGTCTTATTTTAAAAATGCATTTGTATCGTTTGCAGAATTAAAACAATTTTCTTTAGCCCAATAGAGAGGAAAATTTAGTTTTCTCTGGACATTTTAGACCATCACCCTCCACAGTCCCTTATTCCATTAACAGTACAGGATGGACTGATGGGAACTGTAGGCCAAAACATCCAGAAAGTAATTGGTTCCTAGCGTCCTTCTCAAACTTTGACCATCACCTGATGGTTCCTGTGTGTTCAACCTGTGTATTCTGAATATCAGCTTTGTCTATTGGATGGGGCATCAAATGAGAAGGTAAAGTATTTTGATTCATGATTTTCTTGACTTGACAGAGCTCCACCCCAGATAAAACGCCCCAATCGAGAGGTGAAGCCCCTGAGGAGAGAATCACCAGGATTGCAGCGAGGACCTGTGGGCAGAGCTCAACCAATATCAAAAAATGAAAAACCGGCCAGCAGTCGAGAGAGGGAATCTAAAGGAAAAGGAAAAGATGAAAAGGCAAGATTTCTAAACCTAGAAAGAGTTTTATATAGTAGCATTTAATTTTAGAAGACTGAGAGGAGTGCCATCTTTACTTATAAAAGAGAGAATCTCTTTTCATTTATTCTCTGGTATTTTAACTGTTTGATTTGCTATGATGCTTTTGATTTAATTTATATATATTTTCATTTTATTTATATTTTTATTATTTCTCCTAGAATTAAATTGCTCTGAAGTATTCTTTGTGAATAAAACATGAAGTATATATTGGGAATGGGAGATTTCTGATACTAAAAGCCCATCTCTCTATTTTAGTATTTGAAAGGGGTTCAGCTAACTCAGGGCCCTTCCACACAGCCATATAACCCAGAATATCAAGGCAGAAAATCCTACAATATCTGCATTGACCTGGGTTGTCTCAGTTCACACTGCTATATATTAAAGTTCAAAGCAGATAATGTGGAAGGGGCCTCAGAGACCAGATTGTAATGGAATGGGTTACAAGAGATGCTATTCCCATTGAACAAGTGACACGGGAAATAATTTCAAATTCAATAGTATTTAGCAGTTGCTTTAAAATGTTTTCTTTTTACCAGGGGAGATACAGAGTAGAGAGAGGAGGAAATTTTCCCTTTCCACAGCTGGATATATACACATTGTCTTCATGCATGTTCACCTTGTCTCATAATCATACTTGTGCTTAGAGATTAAGACTGATTTTTGTTGCACATCTGCTTGACCCATCTATGTACTTTCTGGGCTTGCATATTTTTAGCTGGATTTCAGTGTTTGCAATACAATGACATAGACATGGTGCTTCTAGTATCATATCTGATGACATTTCCTCTTAATTCTTGAAAAACTAACTTAGGAGATATGGCTGATATAGTGCTAAGGAATGTTGTCTACTGTCTCTGGTTGATGATGATACTGTCTAATTGCCAAATACCCACTATTTTGCAAGTCATTGAGGGCTCTGGTGGCCTAACTGTGGGTTTTAATGGGTGAAACCTACTGCCCAGTCCATTTCATTTTTGGTTTAGGCATTAAGGTAGAATCAGTTTTGATTATCTTTTGGGTGAACTTATCCGAAGGGCAGTGAATTGTGATTTCATTGTCTTTAATGATCTATCATTAGCGTTTTATATCAACCATGTTATTATCAGGGAATTATTTTGTGGGTAGTAAATTATTTTGTTGGAGGTACTTCAATAATTCTGCTTCTACTAATTCAATAATTCTGCTTCTACTTATGAGTTGATTTCGAGGGGTGAAATTTCATTACCCAGGTGCTTGAAGTATATGGTGCCTTATGGCATCATTTGTCTCCCTTGCTGTTTAAAATCTGTGTGGAGCTGTGGGTTACAATCACTAAGGGTTTTTAAATAGAGTGTTATGAGTATGCTCACAACAGCTAACTCTTTTTTCTCTTTAATATCTGAATTGAATGAGGCTGTATCATTAGTCATTGTCTAGACACAGTAATGTACTAGATGAGGATCAATAAAGACTGAATCCTAGTAATATAGAGGCGTTATGGGCAAGTGGTTCTTGGGTCAAGGAGATGAGTCAACAACCTTCAGAAAGAACAGGTTTGTAGTCTGGAAAATTCTTTTTGTCACTTAAGATCCAAATGACCTCAGTGTTTATGGGTGCCTTTTATTAACTTTGTCACATTCATAAGGTATAGAAATTTATGGATAAAATAATCTTGCTGTAATGGCACATGTATTTATCACTTCCAAGACTGGATTATTGTAATGGTTATTGTAATGAACTTCATGCATAGCTGCCTTCAAGGTTAGTCTGGAAGCTGCAGTTGATATCAACTGCCTACCCCCCACTTGCTTCCTATAGTATGATAGCTTGGATAACACAAGATAAGGTGTTAGTGGTAGCATTGCAGGCCCTGGACATTTGAAGCCCAGGTTATTTGAGAAGCTGTTTCTTACACTCCTTTCGAACTTCCTTGATTTTAAGTGACAATTTTCTCATGGTGAAACATACTCATTTGAATAATCTGGCAACCATTCAGAAAAAGGCATTGGGTGTATTGGCTTCTGTCCTTTGTAATATACTGTCTCTAGAATTAAGGCAGGGAATAATAGTCTTCCAGTGTGATTGTATGGCCAACTTGGTTGGAGGAAGTAGCAACACTTGTATATAGAGCAGTTAGAGAAAGAGGGAATCCTGCTGTATTTTTATCTTTCATCTCTGGTTTTTAGATTTAAATAATTGAAGGTGTTCTGCTTCCTGCCTACATGGAGGGGTCACTTTCCCCCTTCTTCCCAAAAGTCTTAAGCGCTTTTATTACCATTTGAGAAGGGAGCATCATGAAGCTTCTCTTCCTCAAGAGATCATACAGATATGAGATCCAGCATTAGGGGCTCTTTTACCAATGTTAGGTGACTTTCTATTTACTCTTTTAACTGTAGATCACTTTCCTCTTTTCCCAAAAGTCTTCAGTGCTTTATGAGCTTTGTTTTGAGAAGAGAGCATCATGAGGTTCATCTCTGCCTCAAGATGCCTGATTTTTAATTGGGATTTTTAAAATAGTGTTTATATTTAATCCTGTTTTACTCTTTGCATATTGCTATATTTTAAATTGTGTGCAGATACATTTATGTTAAGCTGCTTTGAGTCTCCTGCGGGAGAGATTAAGCAAGGTATAAATAAATGTTGTTATTATTATTGAACCGTTTATGCACTTACAAAAAGAAATATCTTTCACTCACTTACTGGGGTTAGTTTTGTTGATCAAGCATTCTGATAGTTCCATTTTGTTCAAAGAATTTTGTCACTAGAGAAGACTCCACCTTGAATCCTTGATAGGGAGAAAGGTAGCATAGAAATCAAATTAAATCAAATCATTCAATAGCTGAGATTGCAAAATAGAAAGGTGTTACTTTTTAAAATCCTGCGTACATATACATCTTAATAAACTGCTGCAAACGCTCTTGTGATTCATTCACGTTAGTGTATTGTCTCCTATACTTTCACCCAATGCAAGGCCTGGTAGACTTTGGGAGAAGGAGATTGGAATTCAGCAAAGCTTGCAGTGTAGCCTCACACAGGCTGAACTGTTTTCCCATGCTCCATTGTCTGCTGAGGTTCAGCATCTTTTTGACAATTTCCTGCTTTAAATGGGATTTCAGTGTGCTTTGTTATGCAGAAGAAAACTGAACATTGAAGATTTATGAATTGCTCTACTCTCACTCCTGTTTTTATAAAGGTGTTTGGAAAAGAAGCGTGCTGAAAGTTGCCTGCAGCTTCCAAAGTGAAAAAGGGAAACCATCAGCTCCTGTTTCATCTACCTTCTATTTCTCTGTCTTGTTGTCCTCTGTTATCTGTGCCTCACCAGCTGTGTCTGATTTTCTTTCTATTTATGCTTTCTAGAAAGCAACTAAGGGTGCTTTCTCAGTTGATAGAAATGCACAGAGAACAAATGGCATTCTAATTCTGCCCAGCTTGGCTAAAACTGACAAACTCTGTAATGGTTCTTCAGCATCACTGACTCCTTTGGTGCAGTATGACTCGCTGCTGCTGTGTCATCAACTTCAGTACACCTCCATACTTGAAAGTATACCTCAGGGCCCTTCCACACAGCCCTATATCCCAGAATATCAAGACAGAAAACCCCATAATATCTGCTTTGAACTAAGTTATCTGAGTCCACACTGCCAGTTCAAAGCAGATATTGTGGGGTTTTCTGCCTTGATATTCTGGGATATAGGGCTGTGTGGAAGGACCCCCAGTTAACAAAGCTGATGTATTCCTGGGTTTTACTTCTTTAACAAAAACTTTGGCACCAGAGGTAGAAAGAACATGAATAGGGAGTATAGGGAGATTCCTACACCACAAAAAAGAAGAGCAGGTCACTCTATTTCAGCAAACTTTTTATTCAATACTAACTTTATGCACATGTGAAATGAAAACAGGTAAGCTAAACAAAAATATGTTCAGTCTCTTAGAGACCACTAGAAAGCTTATTCCAAATTGCCCAGATAGAATGGAGTAATACCCAATAACAGTTTAAGAAAAAGAAAATAACTACAGAAATAGGTTTTTTTTAAAAAAATGAACTAATTTGTTTGCTTCCAACACTTTGATCTAGGGAAAGAAGATCCCTCAGGATGGTGCTGGTGATAGTGAAATTCAAAAATTTGATGGAGCAGGATATGACAAAGATCTGGTTGAGGCACTTGAAAGAGACATCGTGTCCAGAAATCTAAGTATTCACTGGTACAGTGCTTGCTTTATAATATGAGAGATGTTTTGACTTCATTCCTCCTGCAGAGTCATATCCCATAATCCTTGATATTTGGGCAATCGTTATGGCTGAGAAAAAACCAGGCAACGTTAATAATGGCATTGTAAGCTGCTCTGAGATTTGTTATAATGGGGTGTTGACTTTTTCATGTTACAGCCACCAAACTGAACTATTTTCATCAGCATTTTCACTCACATTTTTAAATAGTAGTCATGATAATGGAAGAATTCTACATGATAATGGAAGAAATCTACAAACATGTCATCGAAATTTGGGATTGAATAAGAGTTAGAATCATATCTGAGAAATATAGCTGGAAATGTTGTTAATTCTCAAGTATTGTTTGAATTTTTTTTTTTGCAAAGTTGTCTTTAGATGGCTATTCTGTGGGCCTTTCTGGCTCAGTAGCAAACTGTTGTTTATTCCACCTAAAAGACGAGGATCCCAAAATCTCGCAGTTAACATTTCACCATGTTCTTGTAAAATGGCATCTTACCCATTTCTTGTGTGTTCACATGAAGGTGCAAGGAATTATAGTACTTATAGATTCTTTGAGAAGTCTACATTTTAAAATAGAATCAGTAATATTATAGACAGAAGCGATGTAGGCTTTTGTTAAGTTTGGATCTTCTGGTCGATTTCTAAGTGACTTGCAGTAAGTCAGCAAGGATTTCTGATCTGTGACTGTATAACACTTTGCTGACCTTGAGAGCAAGGTAGGATTGTCTTTCACCTGCAAAGTCATTGCCATCTTCACTATTTTTCTGGGGCCAAGGTTGGAGGCATTCCTTTTTTTTAATTGTCTTGGGCAAAACACCTCAGCTGTCAAGCCTGAGACTGAACTACAGGAAACCTTAGGACATCTAAGGAGGTCCTTGTCTTCAAACAATGAATAAATGAAATAGTTCTGTATATCACATCATGATGTCATTGTTTAGACACTGGAGATTGTCTCTAGATATAGATGCCCAAGCCATTCATGGAAGAAGTACGCCTATATGGTAGTCGCATGCTCTAGCAAGCTTGTTACTCTTTCCGTTCTTCTACAGTTAACTGTGTCGACAACTCAGATCACAAAGCAAGTCAGTCATCTTAAAACAGTGAGCAAAAGGTTCATTTTAAGTATTCGTGTGCAACAATGCTCAAAAGAATTATAACATATTGCCTAAATAATTAGGCTTCCCAGTAATGTATTTTTAACTGAACTCTCAGTGACAGGGTTAGCTGAAAGTCATTTTCCTCCATGCCCTTTACACAGAAGGTCACTTAAAAATGCTGTTATATACCAGTGCCCTTCATAAGAATTTGCTGTAACTTACCTGATGAAAGATTTTATTTTATTTGTATTCTAAATCTGTCTTGTTCTTGCACAGGGATGACATAGCTGATTTGGAAGAAGCCAAAAAATTATTAAGGGAAGCAGTTGTCCTTCCGATGTGGATGCCGGATTTTTTCAAAGGGATCAGGCGACCTTGGAAGGTGAGATGTTTCAGTGCTTACAATTTGTGTGTGAAATGATAAAAACAAAGTTATACGTATGCCTACTAGTAGGATTGTAGGATGATCTTCTGTGTCTGTCGCCTTATGGAGCTATCTGGAGTTTGGTCCAGATCTGTCATTGTTTGAGTCCACACTGCTCTCTGGATGTAGGCGAACTACAACTCCAAAACTCAAGGTCAATGTCCACCAGACCCTTCCAGTATTTTCTGTTGGTCATGGGAGTTCTGTGTGCCAAGTTTGGTTCAATTCCATCATTGGTGGAGTTCAGAATGCTCTTTGATTTTCTTGTTGTTTATCCATTTTCTTGTTGTTTATCCATCGCTTCTGACTCTTTGTGACCTCATGGACCAGCCCACCCCCAGCTCCTTCAAGGTCAAGCCAGTCTTGTCTTGTCCTTGGTTGGCCTCTCTTCCCTTTTCCTTCCCTTTTCCCCAGAATCATTAACTTCTCCAAGCTTTCTGGTCTTCTCATTATGTGGCCAAGGTACTCCATCTTTGCCTCTAATATCCTTCCTTCCAATGAGCAGTCAGGCATTATTTCCTGGAGTAAGGACTGGTTTGATCTTCTTGCAGTCCAAGGCACTCTCAGAATTTTCCTCCAACACCATAGTTCAAAAATGTCTATTTTACTTTTCTCAGCCTTCCTTATGGTCATGGGAGTTCTTTGATTGTAAGTTAACTATAAATAACTACAACTCCCAAATAACAAAATCAACCTCTCAACCCACCAGTATTCAAATTTGGGCGTATTGGGTATTTGTGCCAAATTTGGTCCAGTGAATGAAAATACATCCCGCATATCAGATATTTACATTACAATTCATAACAGTTATGAAGTAGCAATTAAAATAATTTATTGTTTGGGGTCACCACAACATGAGGAACTGTATTAAGGGGTCACAACATTAGGAAGGTTGAGAAACACTAGCAGCTCAGAGCAACTCTATATGCCATCAATCATTTACTGTATATTTCTGTTGGTGTGATGAACTGGTCATGTGACAGTAAGAATTAACCACCTCTCAGGAAACTGGAAAACTAAATGTGGGCTAGTTAAAAAGAGTAAATCCCAAATTTGAGAAAAACATGCATTGATATCTTTTACTCTTGGCCTCCGACTCTAGCACAAGGAAGAAGCTTTTTATTCCATTGTTGTTGGTTTTTCTTTAAACAGTAGAAATAAGGCTTAGGTATAATTCACAGAGCATAATAACTCAGATAGCAACTGGCCAACTGTTTCTGTATAGTTGGGATTCTTCTGAGAACAATTCCTAGTCAGCTTCTTTTATTTTTGAAGTAGATATTCAATATGAAAGGCAGTGCTCCTCCCAGGTGAGTGCCAACATCGGTAGATATATTTGTGCAGACATCAGAGAATTGACATCTTTTCTTACTTTTGAAGTTTTCTTTGAGCCAAGAGATTCCAGGCTCAAGTTGTGCTTCCCACTGTTTCACTAGCGATTGTTACAGCGGCAAGAAACATCCCTGCTGTGATTCCATCAAAATGCCCTCCCCCCTGCAGCATGCTTGAGTATCAACATGGAAAATTCCTAGATTTTTCAGAACTGGGGGAAAGAACAGGTTTTGTGTGAAGCATTTTAAGTACCATATATACTCATGTATAAGCCAATAATAAAAATAATAATAATCTCTTTCTTATACCCTGCCACCATCTCCTGGAAGGGACTTGGGGCAGCTTACAAGTGGGACAGAAATCCACAAACATAAAAGCAAAACCAGTCCATAAAACAAAACATATTAAAATAGGAGCATCATAAAATACAGTGGCCAAGATAAAACAAACAAGACATAACAAAATAGAACAGATTCAATTGGAGCTCCATCTGATCAGGTTCAACAAAAACAGTGACCAAGATTTGTAAAATAGGCATGGCCAAGCTATAAGAGGGCTGGGCAAAGGGTAGCACAAATAGCATACCATAGGTCCGGGGAAGTGGATGAAGTGCAAAACAGAGTACTATCTGGTGACTTGGGGATTGGGCATGTATAACTAGGGACTAATCTCAAATGCTTGCTAGAACATCCAGGTTTTCAAATCCCTGTAAAAGGAGAACAGTGTGGGGGCTTCCCTAATCTCCCTGGGGTGGGTGTTCCAAAGTGGGGGCCACCACCAAGAAGGCACTCTCCCTCATCCCCACCAACTGTGCTTGTGGTGGTGGCAGAAGCGAGAGGAGGGCCTCCCTGGCAAATCTTAGAGCCCGCGCAAACCAGGGCAGATTTAGGGGCCAAAATTATGGATTTTGATATGACTAGTGAAACATTGAGGGTCATTATGCTCAGGGGGTGTTACCCAAATCCACCTTAGGTTGCTTTTCAGCTTTGAAAAAAAATCAGTTGTATGAATGGAACACCATACAGATGAGCAATTTGATTCCTGTATAGCAGGAGCTCAGAGTGGTGGCTTGAAGGGCCTTTTTCGGTTCTTTCTGATCTCATGTGATACTGGTTGTGATAGAGATGTGATACCCTGATCATTCTTGGTCACAGAAAGAGTGGGACAAGGGTTGCATGATTCTCAATGGTGGATCTGGACCAAACTTGGTACCAATACTCAATATGCCCAAATGTGAACACTGGTGGATTTTCGGGAAAATAGACCTTGACATTTGGGAATTGTAGTTGCTGGGATGTATAGTTCACTTATAACCAATAAGCATTCTGGCCCCACCCATGATAGAAATGGGCCACACTTCCCACACAGAACCCCCATGACCAACAGAAAATACTGTGTTTTCTGATGGTCTTTGGTAACCCCTTTAACAGCCCCTCGCAACCCTCCCAGGGGTCCTGACCCCCCAGGTTGAGAAACACTATTTTAACCCATTTCACCACCGGGGTCTCCTTGTTGTCCACTGATTCACATATATCAGTAACTAAGAGAAAATTGAAATGGTGGTGTTAGTGAATAATTTTTTAAAGCCTATCTATCTGAACTATTAGCAATATCCATTTATTAAGGTCCTCTCAGGGGATCCTCCCCCTCTTACTCTTTGCTATTCAATGGGTATTGTCTAGTGACCAGAGAGCAAGCGAACCTTTTTGGGTTTGGCTTTTCCTTTCTAGAAGAATTTAGTTGACACCAAATATTGTTGTCAGTGCTGCACACAAATATTTTTGTTGTTTCAGGCTTTGCCGTTTTTTTGGGGTTCTATTGCTTTTGTTATTTTATTGTATTTAATAATGGATGCTTTAGATTTTGGAGTGAGTTTTTATACTGCGAGATTTCTATATGGTATATTAAAGATATTTTAAATTTTTTGAGCTGGGATTCATTACACTGGCCAAAAATGTAATTATCTTATGAAAAATAAGATCTTATTTATCTTCTGTTGCCTTTCCTTTCAATTTCAGGACAACATCTGCAGCCTTAGAAGAAGCATTTAAATACTAATATGAACATTTGTGATTTAATTAGCTACAAATCTACATTGGAACATGCATTTAAGAACACACTTAGATAGTTAAGAGTGGTAATAAGAGTTAATGTAAAATCTAGACACAGTGAGTTTATTATTTCCAAAGAATTGGGGGGAAAACAATTCTTGAGTAATTGCATTTTCAGTCATTTGTTTTTATATGCCTTCATATTATTGTTTCACAGCTAATTTCCCTCTGAAGGAAAAGACAAAAATTAATTTAGAGAGTATGGTTAGCTTTTAACTGATTATCCTATTGCGATAATGTTTTGTATAAGATAGTAATTGTATCAAGTCGACTATGGTGTGTCAGAATCATTTGATTTGCAACAAAATACAGAAATTCTTCTGAAAGCTTCTGGTTCACCTTCCTAATGCCACAACCCCTCAATACAGTTCCTCATGTTGTGGTGACCCCAAACAATAAATTACTTTAGTTGCTACTCCATAACTGTAATTTTGCTACTGTTATGAATTGTAATGTAAATATCTGATATGCTGGATGTATTTTCATTCACTAGACCAAATTTGGCACAAATACCCAATACGCCCAAATTTGAATACTGGTGAGGTTGGGGGGGGGGGGATTGAATTTGTCATTTGGGAGTTGTAGTTGCAGGGATTTATCGTTAACCTACAATCAAAGAGCATTCTGAACTCCACCAACAATGGAGTTGAACCAAACTTGACACACAGAACTCCTATGACCAACATAAAATACTGAAAGGGTTTGGTGGCATTGACTTTGAGTTTTGAAATTGTAGTTCACTTACCTCCAGAGAGCACTGTGGACTCAAACAATGATGGCACAAATCCTCAATATACCCAAATGTGAACACTGGTGGAGTTTGGGGAAATATACATTGACATTAGAGAATTGTAATTGCTGGGATTTATAGTTCACCCACAATAAAAGAGGACTCTGAATCCAGCCCAAAATGGATCTGTACCAAACTTGGCACACTACCTACACGGCCAACATTGAATACTGGTGCGGGTTGGAGGGGGCTACAATTCTGGGAGTTGTAGTTCTCCAACGCCCAAAAAGAAGAGAAAGACAGGCGGAGAAATCTTCAGACTTTTTTGCCAAAGGGGTTTCTAAGACCATCAGAAGTATGTGCTTTCAGATGGTCTTTGGTGACCCCTCTGAAACCCCACTTATGACCCCCCAGGTTGAGAAACACTGTTCTAATTAGTCTGTAATCTGACTAAATTTGCAGAAGTATGAATGATGTGCAGCAACAGCACAGTGCTAGATGACAGAATATCATGGCAAACATGTCTTAATTGAGAGCTTGAAAATGTTATATTTGAACTGCAGATACCAGAATCCTCACCATTATGTACATGACCATTTTGGCTGTGGGATTATGAGCATTATAGTTAAAAAAAAAGAAGAGAGAGAGATACCCTTTAAAATCTTTTTTATTATTGTGATTTTTCTGAGAGAATCTAGTACCTCAGTTACACGTGGTCCTTGGAAAATGTCCATATGTCTATATATTGCAGCTCAACAGTGTGAGAACATTGGGAGAATTACTGAATAATGGATGAGGATGAGGTTATCTTTATTTCCATCTTCCTAGTCTCTAATGATTTCCCAGCATCCCAGTCTGTTGTTACAGGGAAGAGATATGGCCACGTAGCAGAGCAAGCTGCAAGGATTTGTTTGTAAGGTTTGTAAAGGAAAATCTGAAGGATAAATGTTTGGATACGTAGGTTACAGTTAGTTTTTCAGGGGTCCATGTGCACTGTAGAATTAATGCCACTTTAACTGCCATGGGTCAGTGCTGTGGATTCCTGGGGTTTTTAGTTTTACAAGGATGTTTAGTCTTCTCACTCTATCGAAGAGAGCTGGGGCCTCACCAAGTTACAACTCCCAGGATTTCATAGTATTGAGCCATGACTGTTAAAGTGGTATCAAACTTTATTAATTCTGTAAACCAGATGCACCCTGGGTTAAAGAGAAGAGGCAAAGATGGCACAGGGAGGAAACAGTTATTTGAAATACAAAATATATATTTTTATTTACTTTTTAAAAAGTAGTGCTTAGTCTTTGGCCTTTCTGATTTCTTTGAAAGGCAAACAAGAGTTAATAACAGTTTCCTAAATAAACAAATTCTACAGATATTAGCAGAATTTCACTTAGGTTATTTGTTGGATCCATGTATGGTATAAGTAGTTGTATGGCTAAAGAAAGAATCCTATGAAACTCAGAACATTAGCATCCTGCCAGAACAGATTATCCCATCCTCCCTGCTCCCCTGGCAGCTTTGGCTCACATCTGTCACTTTGAAATACTTTGATTTTCTCTTCGGTGTTTTTGGAAAATCCCTTTGTACTTTCATTGCTTGTTAATAGGTTATGTGTTTCGCTTTTAGCTATGTAGTTAAGTAGAAGACGTATTTTAAAATACAGATGTGGATACTTGCTTCTCTGTCTAGGATTCCTATTTATTCATCTCTCAACTCACTAGAGTCCCTGATTGATAGAAGAACCCCTGTTTTCCCCATTATTCAAAAACAGCAAAATTATGTGCATAGTGTTGCATATATGCGAGCATGCAGGATTTGTAGGTAGCCAATTCACATGGCAGAGGGCCCTTCTACACTGCCATATAATCCAGAATATTAAGGCAGGCAATTCAAATTATCTGCTTTGAAAAGAATTATATGAGTCTACACTGCGATATAATCCTTCTCAAACCTTGGAACCACAAGTGCTGTATGACTGCAGTCCCCATTATCCCCAGTCTGCATGGCGGATAATCAAAAGTGATGGGAGTTGTCCTTGAATGACATCTGGGACCCAAATTGGAGAAAAAGTGAAGAGTACGCCAGCCACTATGTAATTATAGTTGGCCCTCAGTATCCACGAATGCTCCAACCCTTTAAAAGCAACCATAAGGCTGATGTAACCCTCAATGAAAACGTGTTTGACACCCCTGGTCTAGACCAATTCATTCATATTCTACTTTTAGCTAATTTGAATCTGGCCTGTCCACATCTATTCAGTGGTCTGCATTTAATTTCAGGGAGTGCTGATGGTTGGTCCTCCTGGCACCGGGAAAACCATGTTAGCGAAGGCTGTTGCTACAGAATGTGGAACAACTTTCTTTAATGTATCTTCGTCCACCCTGACGTCAAAATACCGAGGCGAGTCTGAAAAATTAGTCCGCTTGTTGTTTGAGATGGTATGTAATGTTGATATTTAAGTAGCACATATTTTTATTATGTCACAAATATTTCCATCATTCCAATATGTTGCCTCATGTTTAGGGTTAAATGAAACAATCAGTTAAATGACACAATCCATGTGAAATATGTAATAGGACTGGTACTGTTGATGCATCCTGGTCAACACTGTCAGGAGGAAATGTTAGATCTCTGCAATGGCCTCTCAAATACCGTCAAACTGGTTTGCCACATTTTGTCTAAATCAGAGTGAAAGAAGTCATACAAACTAAATTGTGCTCTCTCCATAAGAATGCTGAATTCAGAAGTGTTATGGTGGAGTGTTTTAACTGTTGTGCCATGCCTTGAGCTATGAGGAGAGGTGGATGATTATGATGATGATGATGATGATTATTATTATTATCTGCATTTGAAATAACACGACTGAGGTTGTGGCCAATTCATCTTTTGAGGAACTGCACATGCTGTTTTCTTGGAAATTTTACACTACTTATAGTCTTGACCTTTCTGTCATCTTTTGTTTTTTATTTGTTTCTTCTAAAACTTTTCATTTTATCGTTTGCAACTGCCACATTCATTTTGTAGCTCTTATAATATGCAGAATAACATCTATGTCCAGTTAGGTAGGTGACTGTATCACACATTTACAAAAGGAAACTGGTTTGAAAGAGATGGATATACACATATTAATAAGTGAAAATATTGCATTTTTCAGTAGTCCTGAAAACACTAGCAGACCTCTCCTGTGTCCCTGACTCCTCTCAATTTCTCTAAATTCCAAATACAGAAGAGAACACTTTGGTTTATTTTTATAACATCAGAACAATGGGAACTTGTCACATTTTATTGATATTTGATTAGAAGCATTTTAAATGACAGCTCTGATAGCATACAGAACTTATTTTATAGTCACAGAGATGGGACCAAAGTGTTTCTATTCTAATCTACCAGAATAATTTTATTAAATGGAAATTTGCAAAAAATTATGTTCCAAATTATGGATGTTAAGTATACCACTTTCAAGCACAACAAGTACATACACAGTCTAGCTGTTGGACCAATACTGCAGTGGTGCTACCTATGGTCAATGTTGCCCAAAACCTTTTCCACTAGTCGCTCCTATATTTTGTACGCTGATTGGTTTTTAAACGTAATAGCTACAAAAGGCTTCAAAAACATTTTATCAATATTTTCCTTGGCGGTCTCCCCCTTAGTGCATGTGTATGCGTATATGTATATGTGTGTGTGTATATATATATATTTAATGGGTTTGGTTTTAACGTTTTTGTTTATTTACCAATGAATTCATATATGGCATTGAAGTGTTGCCTTTGTCAGGTTGCCCTGAGTCCCCTTCGGGGTTGAGAAAGATAAATGCGGCAATTAAATAAATAAATAAATAAATGTGTATGAGTGAGTGTGTCAGTAGATAAAATGTTATTTTCCTGCATATCTTTATTATTTAATAAATCATCTTTATGTAGCCATGAAAAGTTCCCTAAATATTATCCAAAACCATGTGTATATATGTATGTATATATATATATGTGTGTGTGTGTGTTTTATATATAAATATATATGTTTTATATATAAATAATTTTTACCCTGCTTTAAGTCCCATCCGGGGTGAGAAAGGCGGGGTACAAATGTCATAAATAAATAAATGTGTCAGCATAACATTGTCACTTTCAGATGTGACTGTTCAATTTTTCATGTTATGGGATTATATTCATGCAAGTCATTTTTATCTTTGTTTCAAGGCTAGATTTTATGCACCTACAACCATTTTTATTGATGAAATCGACTCTATCTGTAGTCGCAGAGGCACTTCGGACGAACATGAAGCAAGCCGTAGAGTCAAGTCTGAGCTGCTTGTTCAGATGGATGGTAATGAGTGTTTGAGTCTAAATTAGAGCTGCCTTTTCAGTCATTTAAATTGTTTTCTACCTCAAATTGGTGAATGAGTACAGGCAATTGATAAATAATTGGGTTCTCCTGATTGATATATTCAGTTGTACAAATAGATCCATTCTTTCCTTTAGGAGTAGGAGGTGCTCTTGAGAATGATGACCCTTCAAGGATGGTGATGGTGTTAGCTGCTACAAATTTTCCCTGGGACATTGATGAAGCTTTGAGACGGAGACTAGAGAAGAGGATTTATATCCCATTGCCAACAGGTTGGGAATGCCCTATCCTCTAAATTTAATTTTCAAGCATGTGTTTTCCTTAGTGTGCTATTAAATAATCTTTAGACACTCCTGTTACCAACATTGCATTTTCACTGTTTAATAACTTGCCTCTTTTCTTTCTTTCTTTTTTTAATGCTTGAGATTGCAAAATGAAAGTATTTTATTGCAGCCTGGTTGAGAGTAAAACTATGACTTCTGAATGCAGATTCATTTAATGAGCATGGAATTATTCTGAATGTTTCAGAAGCAATGCAGGAAGGAGCCTCAAAGGGAGCCTATAGACCTCTCTAAAGAAATATTGGCATGCTCTTTTCAATGAATTCAGAAAAACACCAATCCACGAATTTTCACTCACAGGCTTGTCATGTTGTAAATCAACTCTTGCCTGACCTTTATGACTCGATTTCAAGCCCTTCAGATAGCAGCTTTCTGATTGTTCTCCTGCCTGAGGATGTCTCATCATAGATTGCTTTTCTTGGCTGTCGGTCATATCTGCTATTAATTTCTGGATTCTTTATCATGTTAGACTTGTATAGTTGTGTTTCCTCTTCAGTCTGCTTGCTTCCCATTGTAAGATAACAAAATAAAAGTGCCATATGACAGCAGTTGTAATTGAACTTGCGGGAGGGAATGACCTTTGTAAGTTGTACCGCGTGTCTCTTGTAGCTCGTAGGCTATGACATTTAATGGCAAATTGATGCATGAAATGTGGCAACTAGTGACAGTAGCATCCCTTAAGAGGTTTTCCCTCTTTCCCTGACAAAGTTTAGGAATCATTTGTCATCTGGTAATGTTGATGAGGGCTATCCCTACCCTTTGTTCCCATTATTGGTTGCTATTGCTGGAATAAGCTCTCCCATGGGACGTTAAACTGTATGGTAAATTGATCTAAATGGTAACAAAGGAGTGGAAAGAGATGCACAATTTGCAATAACATTGAAGCAATGGGTAAAAATATACTTTTCCCCCTTGCTTATTTAGAAAACTAGATTTTTTTTTCTTTTTTGGAAATGTGATTTTAGTATTCTTTATAGATTGAAAATCACTTTGTTAGCTTAGGAAAATAAATGTATTATACATATTTATTTTGCATAAAATTATTACATTTGAATTCCGTTTCAGTTTTTGATTTTACAAATGGAGTTACAACATTCTGAACTGTAGGAAACCTCTTTGATTTTGCCAGTTTATTGAGAGAAAGCTAAAATTAATAAAAACATAAGAAAGTAAAGGTAGAAATTTTCCCCTAACATTAAGTCCAGTCGTATCCAACTCTGTGGGTTGGTGCACATCTCCATTCCTAAGCCAAAGAGCCGGCATTGTCTGTAGACACTTCCAAGGTCATATGGCCGGCATGACTGCATCAAGTGCCATTACCTTCCTGCTAGAGTGGTACGTATTGATCTACTCACATTTGCATGTTTTCAAACCGCTGGGTTGGGAAAAGCTGGTACTGACAGCAGAAGCTCACGCCGCTCCTCGGATTTGAACTTGTGACCTTGTAAGCCGCCCAAGTCTCTTCAGGGAGATGGTTGCAGGATATACATAAAGTTTATTATTAAGTTTATTTAGACCTCTTTATCAATGATAACTTGATAAATCAGACTTGATTCCCTCAGTCTACTTCAGTTGAAATTTACAAAGATTTAGATCTTGGTTTCCTTTGTTAATTGACACAATATTGGTATTTTAAAACTTGTCATCAGCAAATTGTGTTACCGGTTACTGTTGTTGACAAATGGTTTACCAGTCCCTGCCCATAAAATCCAATTATAGAGGTAAATATTAAAAAATCATTACATTTTTGCACATCTGGTTTAACTCAAATGCACTTTTTTTCAGCAAAAGGCAGAGCAGAGCTTCTTAAGATAAATCTTCGGGAAGTAGAACTGGATCCAGACATCAGCCTGGAAGAAATTGCTGAGAAAATTGAAGGCTACTCTGGTGCTGATATCACTAATGTTTGCAGGTATCTTATTTCTTATATTTGCAAGCTAAAGAAACGTCGGATTGCTAGATGAACTGTCTTTCCTAAACACATATCTGAGGACACTGCCACACTCAGGATTCTCTGCTTTGCTTCACAACTTGAGATACTTTTCACACCAAATTATTTACAGAGGAACCAATTGTATATGTGCTACATGAAATCCTGGGTTCTGTTTTAGGGTATGCAGTCTGTTCAGACTGGATACTCATTCTCTTGATAACTGTCCCTTTATAACTGGCTTTGAACGTTAATACGTATTCAGCATTCCTCTTTGACTGAATGTTTGCAGGAGACAACTGGCAATGTGGATCATGTTACCAATTTAGGAAATTAGCAATGTTTTTTAAATCACTTTCTGAAGAATCCCAAGGTTTACTAGAAAACAATTGGAAAGTGCATTATAGCAGTTTAAAAATTACATTAATATATATACAATCTTCAATTGTCTGAAAATTCTGTATATTATTTTTTTAATATTTTTTTCGCTCTCAAATTGCAGGTGTGGGTTGGATCCATGTTTTAGAGTAGACATTATTAGGACTTAATGGGCATCAGATGCCATAGCATGCAGCCACAAATGGTTATGGCAGAAAAATAATTTTATTTCCCAAGATGTCATTAATTTATTTTTTTCTATGACAAGCCAGCACATTTTCCCTTGGATTTTTTTTTACATTAGGACTTTAGTCTTCTCTACCTTATCCCATGGATTTCATTGGATCTGCTTTAAGTATGACTACCATCCGTATCCGTTAAGAAATTGTGCATCAAGAGGTGGCAAAATTAAAGGAGGGTGTTTTGGATGGAATTAACATTCTTATTCTTTGTACTAGATGTTTGTGTCTAAAGTAGCACTTAAATTGGCTTTTCAAAGTTTAAGGAACTAGGTGTACTAGATTTTTGTACCAAAAGTAGCATTTGAGATTGGCTTTTCAAAGTTTAAGAAACTGCTGAAATGGACAAATAACACGTTTTGGAGAAATGCCCTATTTCTCTTTCCTTGGATGAATGGGAAGCAAAAGCAGAACTAATAATAAGCAATAAACAGCAAGGGTCAAAATGCATGTGTGTCCCCCTGTTCAAAACTTCTGTGGAAAATAATACCCTCAAACTGCTTTCTAAAATTGAAAAGGAAAGCAGATGCATCTCCATATGGAGGAATCTTTTAACATCTGTGCATTACTAATTAAAATACCTTGTTTCTATCATACATAACTACTGCACCTTCTGACAGAGAGAATTCTTGAACGTGGTCTCTGAGGATAACCCGAAGAGCTGGTTTAGCTGTATCGTTTGGATATGTTTGAAGAGTGAGCGAGGAGGTTACTAAGCAACAACAAGGACTCCAGTACTGACAAAGCCGCTTGGCTGAACTGTCACACTTGCTGTGTTTGTTTCCTCATTCTGCTCTTGGCTGGATTAAAGCAGTTGGGGCCATTGGGCCCTTCCAGAAAGAAGGCTTCTCTCTGTGCCACTCTGTAGGCTCCACGGTTGGCAGGGCTGACTTTGTGCTGGAGCAGATCAGCCTTGGGAACCCTCCTTGGGGTCACAGCCACCCCTCTGGAGATTCCTCCCTGTGCGTTTTCACTTGGAGGGTTAGAGAAGTGACCCCAATGTGCCATTCGCCCCTTCACTTGCTCCACAACAAGAATGGCCAGTAATGGTTGTAAACAATGTCAACTCTTGGGAAGAGTAGGAGAAGAGCTGCAGTCTCCTGTCCCAAAAGCATGTCTCTATTGGCAGTAGCACCATGTATTAATTTAAATTTAAATTTAAATTTAAATTTAAAGCATTTATATTCCACCCTTCACACCCCAAAGGGGACTCCGGGCGGAGCAAAACATATATATGGCAAACATCCAATGCCGGAACATAAAATAAACTATAAATATGCATAAATACTAAAACCAGTAATTTCTTATTTTAAAATCAATTGTTTAAACAATGTTTATATGCACAAGAATAACAATGTTAATACAAGAGGTATGTGTGTGTTTGTGAATCAGTGTGGGGATCCTGACCACTCTGGAGCCTTTGTCCCTGTTGCACAATTAATGATCTAGATTTTGAGGGGAATCTACATTCATCCTAAGGAGCAGAATTAACAGTAACCTCATCTTAAAAACACTTGGAAGGAAACTTAACCTGTAATGCAGATTTCCAGGCTAATTAAAGCTATCAGACGAGGGGCCACCACTGAGAAGGCCCTGTCTCTCATCCCCACCAGTCGCTCTTGCGAGGGTGGTGGGACTGAGAGCAGGGCCTCCCCAATGATCTTAACTGTCGCGGTGGATCATAAAGGGTGATAGGTTCAGACAGGTAAGCTGGGCTGGAACCGTTTAGGGCTTTATAGGCTAAAGCCAGCACTTTGAATTGTGCTTGGAAGCAGACTGGCAGACAGTGGAGCTGATGTAACAAAGGGGTTGTGTGCTCCCTGTATGATGCTCCAGCGAGCAATCTGGCTGCCGCCTGTTGGACCAATTGAAACTTCCAAATAGTCTTCAAAGACAACCCCACGTAAAGCACGTTGCAGTAGTCTGTATGGGCATTCTTGGTAGACACAGATTATCTGGATCCGGCACAGTCGGGCTTTAGGCCGGGGCATGGTACCGAGACAGCCTTGGTCGCCTTAGTGGATGATCTGCGCCGGGAGCTCGACAGGGGGAGTGTGTGCCTGTTGGTGCTGCTGGACCTCTCAGCGGCCTTCGATACCGTCGACCACGGTATCCTTCTGGGACGCCTCGCGGGAATGGGTCTTGGAGGGACTGTTTTACAGTGGCTCCACTCATTCCTGGAGGGTCGGTCTCAGAAGGTGTTACTGGGAGACTCCTGTTCAACCCCACAACCTTTGTCTTGTGGGGTTCCTCAGGGTTCAATATTGTCTCCCATGTTGTTTAACATCTACATGAAGCCGCTGGGCGAGATCATCCGGAGTTTCGGAGTGCGATGTCATCTGTACGCGGATGATGTCCACTCTGTCACTCCTTTCCACCTGCTACTAAGGAGGCTGTCGAGGTCCTGAACCGGTGCTTGGCCGCTGTGACGGTCTGGATGAGGGCGAACAAATTGAAATTGAATCCAGACAAGACAGAGGTACTCCTGGTCAGTCGCAAGGCCGAACAGGGTATAGGGTTACAGCTTGTGTTGGATGGGGTCGCACTCCCCCTGAAGACGCAGGTTCGCAGTTGGGTGTGATCCTGGACTCATCGCTGAGCCTGGAACCCCAGGTTTCGGTAGTGACCAGGGGAGCATTCGCACAGTTAAAACTCGTGCGCCAACTGCGCCCGTACCTTGGGAAGTCTGACTTGGCCACGGTAGTCCACGCTCTGGTTACATCCCGTTAGACTACTGCAACGCTCTCTACGTGGGGTTGCCTTTGAAGACGGCTCAGAAGCTCCAATTAGTCCAACGTTCGGCAGCCATGATACTAACAGGAGCGGAGCGCAGGGAGCATACAACTCCTCTGCTGCACCAGCTCCACTGGCTGCCGATTTGCTACCGGGCCCAATTCAAAGTGCTGGCGTTGGCCTTTAAAGCCCTAAACGGTTCTGGTCCAACCTACCTATCCGAACGTATCTCGGCCTATCAGCCCACCAGGACCCTAAGATCTTCTGGGGAGGCCCTGCTCTCTATCCCGCCTGCTTCACAGGTGCGGCTGGCGGGGACGAGAGACAGGGCCTTTTCTGTGGTGGCCCCTCGGCTATGGAACGCCCTTCCCATGGAGGTAAGATCAGCCCCCTCGCTGATGGTGTTCAGAAGAAGATTAAAAACCTGGATGTTCGAACAGGCATTTGGTTAATCGGTGCAATGAATGTGATGATTACAGGAATGGTAATAAGGACGACGAAACTGGATCATGATTTTAGTTATGAGATGCATTGGGTTGTTATTGCTGTGTCAATATTGTGTATTATGTTTTTGTGGTTTTAAATTGTATATTGTTGATTGTTGTACCTTTGTTGTAAACCGCGTTGAGTCGCCGTTAGGCTGAGAAACTGCGGTATACAAGTAAAGTAAAGTAAAGTAAAGTAAATAAATAAATAAATAAATAAATGGGATGTAACAAGAGCGCGGACTACCATGGGTACCAAAATCTGTGAATGCTCAAGTCTCAATATATGAAATGGACTAGTAAAATAGCATCCCTTGTATAAAATGACAAACCATTTAAAGATGTGCTGGAGAGAACCTGAAAATCTGTGAAATGGTGGGAGTCTACAGCAAAATGTCTTTGTACATCAGAGTAGAGCTTTTCACACAGGAAAATTAGGGTTTTTCTTTTTGGATTTTTTCCACTTGATTTTCTCCGCAGACACTTTTGTGGATTTCAGTGCTTGCATTATATCCATGTTGGGGGCAGAGTTGTGGAATCCTGTCTCACCAGGGGAGCTGGGCAAATAGATAAAGAGTAAATGCATTACACAGCCATGTTGGAGGCCTGCAATGCACAAACCAGAATCAACATAGCTGTTAACACATGCTGTTAACAATTAAGAATACTTGAGAACTTCATTCACTTTACAATTTAAAGCAAATTGACCCTATTTACATTTTCTGGAACTAATGTGTGAATTTGAAAGCAATTATTCTTCAGATTAAGTACCTCTCTAAATTTCACCTTGAACAGTGTGTGCATAAATGCAGATGGGGATGAGTATAGTTTTAAATGCAGATTTTCCTGTGGTTGTAGAAGTCCTAGTAAAAAGAATGGAATGAGATTATGATTGAACACATGAGACACTGACAACGGCCTAAAATCTGACTGACCCTTCCGTCCCTTTTCATCACTGACTCCTGTGTGCTTTCTTTTCCGTTTTAGGGATGCCTCTTTGATGGCCATGAGGCGGCGCATTAATGGCTTATCCCCAGAAGAGATCCGTGCGCTATCTAAAGAAGAGCTGCTGATGCCTGTTACCAAGGGAGACTTTGACCTGGCTCTGAAGAAAATCTCCAAGTCTGTGTCAGCTGCAGACCTGGAGAAATATGAGAAGTGGATGTCAGAATTCGGATCTGCTTAACCTCTGAGACATCTCTTTACAAGAGATTTTAGCATTTCAATTACAAAACATTGTAAAGACTTAGAAAACTTTTAAGGCTTGAGTTTTTTTCCTATGGACAACATCCCCTCCCCTCTATTTTGTTGCACTTTAAAAGGGAACAAAAAGAAATGTTAACACAGTGAGTCTGTAATATTTTTTAGACAAATGTTAAAACAGTTAACATAGAAAGTTGAGTTGCACTTGTGAATGGCAGTGTCCTGATTTTCATATGAATGTGTGTTTTTTCAAGGCTTTTGCCTGGCAATCGGTTATAATCTTTTACGAGGAATATTTAACAGAAATTATAGCCTAAGTGTTGGGCCACATTGTTGGCTATTTAAATAAGGTCCCAGCCTTCTTGAAGGTAGCACTGAATCTTTTATTCTTTGCTTTTGCTTTTCTCCCTCATTTGAAGAGGTTATCGGTATAAACCAATGAAAATGCTAAAAGTCACTTTTCACCCATCTTGCTGTTATGGTTATACTGGGATTTGCTGTGATTCTGCTAATCATGTGATAGGGAGGCTCATGGTTCCAAACATGTCGTGTGTACTTGTGGCTCATCACAGGGAGTTTGGGGGAGCATTTTTTGTTCCTCAATGTGAATACTTTTTTCTTCTGTGCTTTTTACAGCATCAGTGTAAAGACAACATACTGAGTATGAAGTGTAAAGCAGGCCATAAAGGGAGATCCTATTCCACCATGTTCATGAGACTGGGAATCTCAAATCCCAAGTTTTGGCTCTTGTTTCTGTTTTCACCTCTTATAAATCTGCTATTTACTCTCTATACTGTAAGTAAGGTATATACTGAAATATAATGGCCAAACAAGGGACAGATGTTGCAGCACTTTAATTTCCAAGCGCTCCTAAGACCGACTGATTTACATCTTGCACTGTTTCATCCAAATGTCCATGTTTTTAGACTACTGGGATTTGGAAATCTTTAACTTTCCAGATGCTTTGGACTTCAGTTCCCAGAAGTCACGCCCATTACGACTAGAAGTAAGGGATAATGGGAGTTGTGCTTAAAACCCTTGGAAGATAGAAAGGTTCCACGTCCATTTTAAACGAACTCTTTTCTAATTTATGTTTTATAAAAATTTGTTGCAATATAGGACATGGAAGTGGATTCTTGAGAAATCAACTTGCAGAGCTGTCCGTCCTTGAAATCCAGGAATACTCTTACCACGCTTCTTATATTTCTGGTGTATTTTAAACATGCCACCCTCCCTTTTAAAGCAGTTGCTTCAAATATGAAATAATGATGCTAATTTTTGTAGGCCTTTCCACTGACAATGACTTAGGCCTGTTCAGCTAATGTGCATAGTTCGCTTTCCAAAATAGATCCTCTGTGTCTTCAGGTATGATGGGATTAGTTCTCCAAGTTATTTGTGTATTCACATTGGAGAAGGATGTAAAATCAGAAAACCCTGATTTTGAATTTGTTCTCAAATATTTACAATCTTTGCACTTGAACTAAATATGCCTGATGTTACATTACACTGCACTTTGACAGGTAATTATATAAAATGATTAATAAGTATTCCTAAGCCATATTTTCATTTGTTTGGCTAGTTGCTTTAAAATACTTTTTTTCCTTAGAAAAGTTATCCTTTCAGACATTCTTAGGGAGAAGACTTTTTCAAATAACAAGCATGCCTGTCTTCCATTTCTGATATGGCAAACTGCATGGAGAGTGTAATGACCCATTTAACTAATCTTTACCATTCTTGCTAAATTGCATAGAGACAAAAGCAGGCAAAGTGTAGCCAGTATGATATGTGTGGCTCTCAATATCTTTTTTTGTGTCCCCACAACCTTTATTGAAGCTTGCTACCAGGAACAGAAATTTGGCAAATGCTTTAATTTCCATCCCTAGAAGCATCCAGGTGGGGCGGTTTTGAAATAAAACAAGGTACATGGCCCAATCCTCACCAAGGACAGTAGATGTGGCTTTTCAGCCCTTTCAATATTTGATTATTTATTATTTCTTCACATAACATACCCAGTTTTCCAGTTGGGTTTGTTAGGGAATAGTGTTTACTGGATCACGTGTATGTGGTGGAAAAATGGCCTCCCAACTCTGCAATGTTTTCCTCCATAATATAGGTCAAGACCTAGAATAATCTGGTGGGAAAACTCCAAAATGTGAGTGATTAGCTGGTCTTGAACTTACGTTCCACAGTGCTAAATCTGTTACATGGGGCAATCTTCTTTTTTGGCAGGGGATTAGTTTAATTTCACCCCAAATTGCCAAGTTGGTGTGGCTCATTCAGCATTTGCATTACAAGGGCTTCATGTCTTTTCATAACCAACTCATTTCTTGTCATAACCAACGTCATGTTTGCTGGCTAGGAGATTTGGTTTGTTAGAAGAGTGACACCAGTACTTACGTGACCAAATCCCAAATATGGCCAGATATTTAGGTTGTGTTTGCAGCACTTGTTTTAAGACTCTTTAACAAATTATTGTTTTATATAGAAGGTATCATACGTTAATACTGTGAATGACAGATTGTGTTTGTGTCCAAGAAAAGGCAGCTCTATTGTTCATAGAAGGAATCATAATAAATATCTTAACGACAATGTATTTTCTTTAGTATTGTTTGGTAGTGCTACAACACTTGGGATTCATTTGGGCTGAGTAGGCTGTAAAGCTCTGGACATATAAGAACAGTTAGGCATCTAATAGTGTTTTGGTTTGGATGTGTTATCTCTATTAATGCCTCTCATAGTGGTCGCTTATGAAAGTAATGGTGACTCTGACATTAGTGTTCAAACACAAGTAAAATACAAAGCTGATTTAGGACCCACTCCTGTTTTTGTATAAGGAACTGCACAATTCATGGTGGTAGCATTTTCTGTACAGGCAGTCCCTGAGTTACAAACATCCAACTTACATACAATTCCTAGTTACAAAGTGGGGCGAGACAACAGGAAGTGAGAGGAAATCTCCCATGAAGGTAAATTGACTCCAGTAAGAGTTATTTTATGGAAAAGGTGTCTCTGCTGAAGCTGCATCACTGATCCTTGTTTTCACAACAAGCCAAATTTTTCAAAACGCAGTTGTCACAGGGACAAAAAGTGAGGTGAAAACAGGCACAGACAGCAAAACAAATGTTACAGTGCTGTTAACCCTTCTCTCTGCTATTTTTAAGTCTATGGACTTAAAAATGTACTTGTTCCGACTTACATACAAATCAGCTTACACACAAACCTGGGTATTGTCTGTACATAGAAATAGCACAAATTGCACATAGGACCCATTTTATACTGACCATATAATACAGTCTGAAAAAGCATTATATGGTCAGTGTAGACTTATATAATGCAGTTCAATGTAGTTAAAATTGCAGTATGCAGCAACTGGACGTAAGGTACTCGGGCTAAACCAAGTTGGTTTCCAACATTGTGTTGCTGTAGGTCAAGGATTGGCAACTGTAGACTTCCACATACTTTTCTCTTACAGCTCCCATGAGCCTGCTTCGGCAAATCCAATTATGAATGATTATAGAAATTATTGTCAAAATATTTCTGTAGAGCTGTTAATCCGCCCTTGCGAACAGAAATGTTTGGATTGAAAGGAGTATAATTCAAGGTTGCTATTGTCAGATTAAATTTTTTCCCTGTGATAACTGGATTTTTAAAAATAAAACAAGGAACTTTTAAAACAGCTATAAAAAGATCTCATTTTTATCCACAACCATAAGACACACATAGACTATCCCTTAGCCAAAATGTTTGGGATCAGACGTGTTTTGGATTTTGGATTTTAAAATTTTGGAATACTTCAGATGAGGTATCTTGGAGATTCTACTCATGTTTAAACATAAAAGTCATTTTGTTTCCTATATTCCTTATAAAAAGGTAAAGGTTTTCCCTGACATTAAATCTAGCCGTGTCTAATCCTTGGGGATGGTGCTCATCTCAATTTCTAAGTCAAATAGTTGGCGTTGTCTGTAGACACCTCCTAGGTTATGTTGTCAACATGACTGCATGGAGCACCATTACCTTCCCACAGACATGGTACCTATTGATCTACTCATATTTACATGTTTTCAAACTGCTAGGTTGGCAGAAGCTGGGCCTAACAGCAGGAGCTCACCCCGCTCCCTGGATTTGAACCACCAACCTTTTGGTCAGCAAGGTTGGCAGCTCAGCAGTTAAACCCATTGCACCACTAGGGGCCCTTATTCCTTATACACATAACCTAAATATCATTTTATGCATTATTTTTAATGTTTTTATACATGAAACAACGTTTTTGTCCCTTAAGCCATCAGAAAGCAAAGGTGCAGCTATCTTAGCCATCCATGTGGATATTTTGGGGTTTTAGAGTATTTTGGATTTCTGGATAAGGAATGCTTCACCTTTACTCATTTCCTGAACCATCTTCCCCTGCTGTTTGTGCTGCAAAGGGAAGAATGAAAAAAGAAACAAGTACCTGTGTGTCTCTGTCCTCCCACTCCACCTGCTATGGTGTTGATAGTATCTTTGGGATGATTTCAACTGGAAAAAGAAAGGCTAGCCTCAAAATTGGCATCTCTCTTTAACCTGCCAACTCCTTTTTAAAAATAGAAGAAAACAATCACAGACTTCCTGCATTGTGCCTTGTTTCAACCCACAAAGAAGCATGAATCATATGTACTGTTAGAGGAAGTAAAAAAAAAAAGGGTTACACTGCCAGCTTATATAAGTGAGTAAACCAAAGTGGTGTTCTTCACAATACCTCCTTGTATAGAAATCACATTTACGTTTTCTCATCACAGATGTTCTTGCCCATACTCAATGGGGATTTAGCATTTTGCTCACTGGCTATGCCGCTGTATTCCGTGACACATTTTCGAACAGAGAAGATTGTGTGTGAGGTCTTAGCAAAAAGAGAGGTCATTGTGACGATGAAGATGAGAAGAAATAAGCTGTGTGCCAAATGGTCTGGATATGTAACAGAAACCATAGCAACACCAAGGAAGGGTTTTAAATATAACACATATAAGCTAAGTGAATTGCACTCAGGACTTCCAGGCAGGCAGGATTCAGGCTAAACCTGTTACGGTTGATCCAAGCAAAGAAGGCAATCATGTACTCATCATCACCAGGCAAGAGAATGGGCTACTATGGGAATAAAAAGGAATAAAAGTATTTTGGGGTGGGCAAGCTGTGTCTCACATTGGTAGAAAATTGCAGTGCCTATTTTACTGTTTTTAAAGTGTTTTTAAAGAAAAATGGGGGGACGGCAATGTTGGACAGCACTGAAATAATCAGTTTTTTAAAAGTCAGAGTACAATACAATACAAAACTCTATTATGGTCACCCAGCACAAAGTGGGGCACAAGCACCTTGGGATGGGGAAACATAGCTCCACAGTTATTAAAAAACAGAGTGGTGAGTTTGTATGGAAGGACTCTTGCCCTGCTACCTCCCTTCTGGTGCCATCACTGAATAAAAGGAGAGAAAGCATATCAGTACTGTACAATGTAGTGGTCTATGGAATGATGGTTGTTCATAAGGTATTAGCTGGTGGTCTTTGTAGAGTTTCCAGGACAAACAAACAAACACTGGTACCCAATAGGCAACGTGATAATGATCTCAGACACAAAGGGATCCCTGCTCTGCCCCCTACTTCATCAGATATCTGATGGATTACTTCAGATATCCACTGAAATAGATTACTTTTGTCAAATACAATGTTGCATTCTAGCCTTGGGACACCTTTTCACCCAGCAGCACACCAGAGTCCAGTAGTACTAAATGCAACAGTTTATTAAGAGAAACAGGTAAAAAGAGAAAAAGGCATTTTCCAAAAGAGCAGTAGGAAAGAAAAATAGCAATAGTGCATATACAAAAGAACAGCAAAAATGGCCAAATACATGAAATCAAAGAAGTCAAGATCACATGCATAAATTCATAAGCATGAAAGCGAGAACTTTTTCTAAGGCAAAACTCTTTCAGGAACATAAGCAACACAGGAAACTTGAATCATGAACTTGAGAGCTAACACCTGAACCTGAATCTTTTGGCAACCTTGTCTGTTCTGATGCACCAAGTAAACATTGCTCAATTTAAGCCAAGTCCAACCAAGAAGTCATGAGATCATGCTTCATACACCTGGGTTTCAAGGACTTCCCACAGAGCCACTCTGAGCGCCTAATTAATATATCCTTCACTCCCTCTGTGTGGAGACCTAATCTGATATCATGGGAAAACTCCCCATTAGTTGAAAGCCAATTCCTATGACAAATTGACTTTTCTCCTGTTACTAAGGAATGGACATTGGAATCCTAAACACCCTTTGTCTCATCTTCAACTGCCTGTACTTCACTCTGATCTAAGGCCTGCAATTAATCCTGATCACACACAGACTCCTCAATAGGAATCTCATTATCCTCCTCATCCTCTGAGAAATCCCCAGCATCTTGATGGACCCCAACATACAACTTATTAACTTGTGGTATAGGACAATTAAGGACAGTGAGCATGTTTACAGCATATAAAGCTACAAAAGATGTGGTCAGATTATTGTTCATCTAGCTTTGCCTAATTTACTCAATGTGTTCCCTATTTTTGTTCCTCCAGATATTTTGGAGTTCAAGTTTCAGAAGTTCTAGCCAGGACTTCTAATAGGAAGGGATTATGGATGATGGAGTCCAAAACATTATGGCGAGCGAAATTTTCTCCACTCCTGTTGGGTTTGGAATGGTAGTGGTCATTCACAGTTTCAGTTATGAGTCTCTTTTGTAATCTAATTCAGAAACGGACAAATTACAGCCATTCTGATGATGTTAGGACAACAGCTCCCATCAGGTTTACCCAGCATAGCCAATGGCAAGGAATCCTGGAAACTGCAGTCCAGTACCATCTGGAGGGCTCCAGTTTGCCCATTCTTAATTCAGAAAATATTGTTATGAGGCTTCAAGTCACTTTTGGTGATCCTTATGCAAATTCATAATGGGTTTTCTTGGCAAGGTTGTTTAGAGTAGGTTTACTTTCCTCTGAAGCTCAGAAAGTGTGACTTGTAGTCAATCCATGCAAAATCGACTGGTGTTCTTCCACAAATGTGCATCACTTCAACAGCATGATAGAGCATGCCAGAAGGGGTTGCAGCAGTTTGCCTCTGCCCAAATATACTGTAATGCTGAATTAATTGAGTACATATTAATTTTGTTCTTCGAAATCCATTTGCTCTATTGAAAGTAATCTGAGGATAAAGAGGAACATTTTCAAAGCAGCGGATTAATTAAGACTTTTTCTCTGCCAAACTGGGATGGTGATGAGTGAGCCTTTAAGAAACTGGGTACTTGGAGTGATTAGGAATGAGAAATGATTAGGAATGAGAAATGCTTACTGATCTACTTCATCCAGAAATCTAGCACTTATTTCTGTTCTACCTTGTCTTCACAACTAATCTATTGTTGTACCTGCAGGAGGCATCAACTAATCTAAAAACCTTAATGAACAGTTAGGTGCCCAAGGGAGGATCTCATTCCCATAGTGAGTTCCAGCTTCTCTCTCTTTAGCAGTGAGAGATGCAAAGGCAGAAATAACAAAACTCAGGCTGCATCCATTCAGTTCTTCTCCATTTCTGC